AGTTAACTAACTAAAATAACTATAAATAGTAATAATATATAATACATATAATAGAAATAATATATATAGTAGAAATAATATATATGATATAAATAATAGATATAAGAGAAATAGTAGAAATGATAGATCTGGTATTTATGATAGATCTAGTAGAAAGTGTAGAAATAGTAGATATAGTAGATGGAGTAGAAATCATCGATTTTGGGCGCAGTTATAATCATCTAATCAGAATTAAGTTATATATTGTATATGAATTAATATTCATAAAACTTTAACGATCTTGGGATCTTGTAACCCAAATCATATAATCTTGTACTCATTAGAACTATCTCGATATGCTGATTTCAATAGTATAAGTTTTATTAAGATTAGAGTGGTGGTTCAAAAATTATTAGTAAAAATATGAATTTTACTATTATAACAATAGTTAGTATTAGGGATGTTAATGGAGTAAGGTACTCCAGAGTAACTCCAGAGTATACTCCACTCTATACTGGTGTAGTTTAGACATTACACTACTTCAGATTATTAAAATATTATTAATAGGAGTAAATACTCTGGAGTAATACTATTAACATAAGATAGTTTGTACTTTGGAGTAATATAATATATTAAAACGCTATTTACTATCTATTACATTTAAACTATTTATTGCTCTTAAACTATTTATTATATTTAAACTATTTACAGTATTACATTTAAACTATTTATTACTCTTAGGTTGTTCTCAAGTAGCTGCTCAATCATTTCAATTATTTGATATTAAATTGAAATAATCCTTATCGTTATATAAATTTTGTCGTAAATTCATTGTGAAATGCAGATTTTAAATTTAAACCAATCAGAGTAACTCTAAAAAAAAAAAGATTGTTAGGTCCAAATTTAAATGATTATTTTTAGAGAGGCACTTGAGAACAACCTTAAGCAACTTATTACATACTGTATATATATTATAATCTCAATACTGTGACTATTCAAACTGTCATTTACTTTTAATACAAGCTATCTAAAATTGTCAATAAATAGTTTAACTTGCACTTCTTCTGAGTTGATAGGTTAATATGAAGTAACTGCATTATAAAATTCTCCATTAAAATAACAATATAAAAGTTACGACAAACTAGTTTTAGAACCTATATACTCTAAAACTCTTGGCGTTCGCTCACCTGATATTTGATATAAAGTTTGTACGTACATATGCATACTCCAAATTCAGTCAGTTTACTATTAGCATCACTTAATCATGCATATAGCCTAAAGTTACATGCATTCATATCAGGGACCCTAAAAAATTTCAAAAGGATTAAAAAATAATAAATCGCAATTTTTACTAAATCTTGCTCCAAAAAACAGTTTTACGACTTTTTCATGCATAGTAGGTTATACAATAAATCTTATTGGCTAGCTATTTTAGTACACCAATCAAATTCGTATAAGTTTGTGTAACTTATTAATCTACCAGGACGACTTTTTCATGGCTATTTGTATAACTTATTAATCTACCGGTATATAAAAAAATTTATATGCGATCATATTGCCAATTTTAAAGGATAAATTTTAATATTTTAAAAGAATAGTTGTTTTGGTATTGTAACGAACAAGCAACAAGGTAATCAGTGTTGTAACAAACAAGAACAAGCAAATATAATCAAGATAAAACTGCTAAACTAACGATATCTTTTTAGAAAAAAAAAAAAAGATTGTAAAAAGTAAGATATTATATTTGACTTTTGGTATCTTATAGTATAAGTACTATATAACTTAATTTGCTTTTTATTAAATATGATAGCTTGTTTTAAATACTATGTCAAGCTACTGCAAATGAATTTCCGGAACATTTTTTTGATTTTTGATATGCCGAATCACAATTAAAAACATTTTTTAAAAATTTTGTATCACAATAAAAAACATTTTTTGCCCTTATCCAAAACAATATTTGTGTAATAGAACCACAATTTTTTAGAGTCCCTGATTTATATAAACAAATTAGAGGTTTTAAAAACAATCCATTGAGTGAATTACCTTTTTATGACAGTAAACTTATGTTCCATTCTTTCATAAACAAAATTTCATCTCTAATGTTATTCGTAAGCAAGCCCTGTATATGCATCTATTCTTTTTTGTAGCACCTAACATATGTTCTCTATAAAAACCGAATAATAAGCGTTAAGTTTTTAACAAACTATATGATTATAAGGAACATGAACTATAAAAAAAAGTCATGTCAATACGCTTCATGTTTTTTGAAGTGTCAAATTAACGATTATGAAAATTATGGAAACGATTAGCAGTAACAGTAATATAACAAAAAAAAAAAAAAAAAAGTTATGTCAATACGCTGCAGTAACAGTAATATAACAAACAAAAAAAAAAATTTTTTTAAGAAAAAAAACAATTACTTTTGACAGGTGTCAAATTAACGATTATGGAAGGAAAACTCATTCATAATATGATTAAAAAAAAAAAAAAAAAAAATTTAAACCAATTTTTTTTCTTTAAAAAAAAAATCGAATATTCAACTTAGAAAATCAAACGTTAAAACATCATGTCTAAAGAAACTCATAGTAACTCAGATATTGTAGACACTGGTGAAAATATGAGTCTTGTTGTCAAGACTAGTGAAGATATTAGCTTCGAAGATGACTGCATTGTTGTTGATAGTGAAGATACAGACTTTGCTATTGATAGTAATGAGGATATTAGCTTCGCTTTTGACAATAGTAAGGATACAAGTTTCGCCGTCGATAATAATGAAGATATTGCCAATAATGAAAGTGTAAATTCTACTATCAATCCTAGTAATAGTGACACTTCTGCTGATCGTATCAGAAATATTTCAAAAAGAACTAATCAACGTACATCTATTGTGTAGGAGTTTTTTTCTGATGAAAATAAAGATGATGAAGTAGTTGCAGTAGTTTGTGACATTTGCAAGCAAAAATAGAAACCAGGCAACACAATGGGAACTTTAGCAACTCACCTTAACAGTAAACATAAAAAGAATATCTTCCTAAAACAGCAAATGCTCTTACATTTTGCGACTACACCATATACACCAAAAGAGGAAAAACGAGTAAATGAAATTAATAGAAAGGTGGTTGATTTTATTGTGTGTTGCCAATTACCTTTTTCTGTTGTGGACAATAAATATTTTAAAGAAATGCTTAGTATTTTCGATCTACACTATCATGTTTTCTGCTGACAAACATTAAGTAGTGAACTAATAAATCAGTTTGAGGATATACGTGAAAAAATGATAAATTTACTTGAAGATATTAGTTCAAAAGTTTCTGTTACATGTGATATATGGACTTCTATATCCAATCAATTGTACCTTGGAGTAATCATACATTATATAGACAATAATTAGGAAGCATGAAGTTTTCTCCTCAATTTAATACATTATCCAGACCACCATTATAGAACACAAACTAAAGACTTGCTTCTAACGCTTTTTGATGAATTTAAAATCACACAATGCATTATGGGACTTACCACTGACAATGATACAAGCATGATTGTTGCAGGGCGTGAGCAGCAAGTAGCTCTTTCATCTTTAGGAAATTATGAATACACACATTATAGATACACTGCACACATTTTAAATATCACGATGAAACATGGTATGCAGCTCAAAACAATAATTATTGAAAAAATTAGAAACTTTATAAAAAAAGTACGCTATTCCCAATTGCTATGTGACTCTTTATGAAACATTTGTACTATACAAAAGGTCAAGTACCTAAAACTGGAGCTTGATATCGATACCTGTTGGAATAGTACATTCGTATTATTGCAAAAGTTTAATAGAATGAAAGAAACACTAGAATATTTGGTTGCAAAAAATAAAAAGCAACTTGAAGATTCGTGGCTTGATGAAAGTGAGTGGGACCAAATAGATGCAATGTTAGAACTTCTTGAACTAATATATAAGGCAACATTCTTGTTATCTGCTAGCTCCTATCTGGCTATTAGTAATGTTCGTCTCATATTTATGGGACTTTTACATCACCTTGATCAATATCTTTTGAATTATGAAGTGAATGAATATTATATGGCACAATCAATAATGCATAAACTAAATGAGTACTGGGGCATTATTGAAAAATTGACTGTATTACCCACATTGCTTGATCTATGCTCAAAGCTAATGATCTTTGTAACATGTGAAGCATAGTCAACTGCTGTAAGTGTATTACGCAAACGTATATTAAGCTATAGAAAGGCATCCTCAAATACGTCCACTACTAAGCAAAGAAAAGAAAATAAAAAAACAAATCAGTGTCTATTCTTTGAATCATTATTACAAGAAGAAAATGCCGCACCAGTAGAAAATAAGTTAGAACAATATTTAGCCCTTCCACTTGCCCTAGAAGAAAACCCACTTAAATAGTGGTATAAATTTGAAAAAGAATTCCTGACACTTAGCAAAATGACAAGAGACTACTTGTCTATCCAAGGAACCAGTGTTCAAAGCGAACGTGCATTTTCAATCGCAGCTCATACTATTACAAAAATCAGAAGTAATCTTTTTCCAAATTTGGCATATGCTGTGCTATATCTAAAAAGCTAGATAACAAAGGTTCATGATGATTATTATGATTATGATAAATTGTAATAAATCTTTGTGCTATATTGTTATTTCACAATCTTATAATAATAGCAGGCTTAGATTTTTAGGTTAGCAGTTCTTTTTGTTTTGTGAATATAATTAAATGGATTTTATTTAGTAGATTAGATAATATTTAAAGGAACAGTAAAAGGAGGATTTTGGTAATTTTTAAGTGGTACACTTTTTTTTAGGCAGAAATTATTGAATAACATAGTTATACACACCACCAAACATAATTGCATTGATTCATAGAATTATAAGTAAATTTAATATATTAAGAGATATCATGAAATAATCTAATAAATCATACACGAAACTATTGATATTGTTTTGCTTTAAAATAGTTTGAATCATCCATAATTTGTAATTTCTACTCATACATTGTTACAAAAAATTTTATCAAATATTTCTTTTATACTATTTTATTAGTTTCCTCTCAAATATTTTTTGAATAAATAATGTAGAAGGGTTTGAAACCTTAGATCCGAGTTCAAGACCCTCAATAAGAGTTTGAGACCCAAGATTTGGGTTCGGAACCTTTACAACTCTTTCTGCTTGGATTAAAATAAATAAATATGTAACATATAAATAACAGGAAGGTAAACTACTTACTATGTAAAGTTAAATCACATTATGCAATTTACTAATAATATAAACTAGTAAACATACTAAATTGTCACTAGTATGATTTAACTTTTACGTAATAAGTAAATTACTTTCCCATCTCTATGTACTTCCATATAATAAAAAGTTAATAACCTCTATAAAACCTGCTATGCTATTATTTAAATGTATTGCCAACTAAATACTTACCAAATACTTAATACCTTAAAAATTTATAGCGCATAACCATTGCTCGATAACGACAATATAATAAATCATTACATAATAAATTGAGAACTTATCTAACTATGAATATAATAAATTTTATTACCTGATTGTTTCTTTAATATTAATTCTTTACTAATCCGTCTATTTTTGTTTTTAATTTTATTATTTATAATATTCAACAGATTTGAAAAATTTATTCTTACTGGTATATTTTTTATACATAATTGTATTAATACTCCAGGTTATACTCTGAGTTATACTCTAGGTTATACTTCGAAGTATACTCTGACTTAATACACCAGATTTTATTCTACTTAATACTCTAGAGTAATACTATGGAGTTTGCTTTATAAGAGTATACTCCAGTGTGGTGTGGTGTTAAGGGATACTCTGCCAGAGTACACACCACACTACTCTAGAGCACTCCATTAACATCCCTAGTCAATATTTTTAACTATTTTGTAATTCTTGTACTAGTATCTGTGTTTCTTCTTTCTTCACTACTTATATTCATATCTAATCTTTTACTTAATACTATATTAAAGTCTTTTAGAATTATATATACTATATTTTTTCTATTCTTGATAATTTCTTCTATTAGTATTTTGTATACTTTTTTTATTACTTCTTTATTATTAGAAAGTAGATATACTATCTAAACTTAAAAGACTACTCTTCTGAAGAAAAATTTAGCCTTAAGCAAATATAAATTAAACTTTTTACAAACTCTTATATTTCTTAACCAATTCTAATCAACTAATAGTCTAATTCTTAACTTTTTGTATTTTTTTTTTTTTATCTTTATTTAAAAGCTTAAGAATCTATATTCTTCTATATTTATCTACTTACCTTCTTGTTCTTCTATGTTAGTTTCTACTATTCTAATAATATTATATCTTTCTAACTTACATACTCTGCTAGTAGTTCTACTTTTGTATTATCCCCTTTAATTTTATTAATATTATATGTATCTATTTTTATAACCTCTTGCATTTTATTTTTATCACTAGTATTATCTCTTACTCTTTTTTTTACCTCTCTTCTCTTTGTGTTTTCTTTGTATTCTTCTTTATTTTAGTTTGTACTTGTTTCTGCTTTGTTCTGTCTTTCAAGTTTTTCTTCTTGATTGACTAAAGCTTTTGTTAGTTCAACTTTAGCTACTTTTAGAAGTAATTTAGAGTCTCTAAACTCTAGTTATTTTTAAAGCTATTTAATTTTCTTTCTAAAGTTTGAATATATTGTGCTATATTGTTAAAAGATTCTTTGTATTATTTTCTTTGTATTATTTCTTCTTTCTTTTTTTTGTATAGACTTAATTTCAATTTTTTAGCTTTGTATATATTTTATTTTCTAACCTGCTCTTTTTCTTTGAGATTCTCTTTTTACTTCTATAAGAGAAAGTTAATCTATTAGAAAATAGTTTTTATCTCTTGAAGCTTCTTGTACTTAGTTCATAAGCATTAAATTTTTGCTTATATCTTTCTTCAGCATAATATACTTTATTTAATTCTACTTTAGGAATCTTTTAAAAGAGTCTAGTATTATAATATTTAATAATATACTTTTTTGTTTGAACTATTTCTTATTGGTTTTTGAACAATACTGTGCATAGTCTTTGTTATTCTCATTTGAATTTTTGAAAACATGTACTACACTTGCACTAGTATGTTTTAGTTATCTGAACAATAGCACTTCATTTATATTTTGTAAGATATTGAATAACTTTGCTATAAACTATTTTTAGTTTTCTAATATCCCTTTTCTGTTTGATCCTAGTATTATATATACTAAGAAATCATTTGTAAGAAGAATAATCTAAGTTTCAATTCTTTATACAAAACTACTTTCTTCTTTGAACGTAACTTTTGCTCTTATTTTCTATATTTTTCTCTTATTATTTTAATATTTCTAATATATTTCAGATATTTAATTACGAAGAAGATTTTGTAACCTTAATATATAGTAAGATATGTTATATATAATAATAGTTTCTTCTTTGTATAGATATAGCTCTTTTTCTTTAGCTAAATTATTATTTTTGTTAAAGTTTTTTTTTTATTTAAAAGAGTTTTTTGTTTATATATTTTTCTTTTTTTTTTATCTTTTATAGAAGCTAATTTTTCTTCTTCTGTTTAGTTAGATGTTATCTCTTTTCTTTCTTTGCTTATACTATTTGTTGAGTATTTACTTTTTTTAGTCTAGTTATATAATATAGATCTTTTCTTTTGTATTTCTTTAGGCTTCTTCTTTGCTTAGATCTCTCTTACATCTTTTTTTTTTGTTTTGTGAAGTCTTTTTTTTCTTTAGACTTTCTTTTTTAACCTTTTTTTTGAGTATTGGATTTAACTAGTCAAATTCATTCTTCTTTTTTTCTAATCTTGACTTAGTTTCTTTATAACTTCTTTTGCAATTAAAATATATAATACACTATTGATTTATATTTGTGAATTTTTTTTGAATTGCTTTGATATACTTATTTTCTTTAAGTGACTACCTAATTGATTTTTTTTTTTGTTTAGTATTATCTCCTAAAATTTTAACTGCTATTACTTTTGCTTTGATCTCTCTTTTGTCTTTGTATACTTCTGTAAGAGTTTAAATGTATCGTAACAGTTTAAACAATGAGTTTTAGTTATAAACACAGTTTATAATATTAGCGATAA